ATCCAGCAATCCCGCTCCTTGGAATATATCCTAGAGAATTAAGAGCCTTCACACCAATAGATAAATGCACACCCATGTTCATTGCAGCACTGTTCACAATAGCAAAAAGATGGAAACAACCTAGGTGCCTATGAAGGGATGAATGGATGAACAAATTATGGTATATTCACCCAGTGGAAAACTACACAGTGACAAAGAATAACAATGAATCCGTGAAACATAACATGGAGAAATCTGGAAGGCATTATGCTGAGTGAATTCAGTTAGTTGCAAAAAAGGACAAATATTGAATGAGACCACTATCATAAGAACTCAAGAAAAGGTTTAAACACAGAAGAAAACATTCTTTGATAGTTAAGAGGGTGGGGAGGGAGGGAGAGGGGTATTCACTAACTAGATAGTAGACAAGAATTATGTTAGGTGAAGAGAAGGATAAAACACACTACAGGAGAAGTCAGCACAACTGGACTAAGCCAAAGCTAAGAAGTTTCCTTAATACAACCAAATACTCTGAGGGACAGAGTAGCAGGGGTGGGGGTCTGTGGACCATGGTTTCAGGGGACATCTAGGTCAATTGGCATAACAAAGTTTTTATTTTTTTTTTATTGTACTTTAGGTGAAGGTTTACAGGATAAATAGTTTCTCATTAAACAGTCAGTACACATATTGTTTTATGACAGTGGTTAACAACCCCATGACATGTCAACACTCTTGCTTCTCAACCTTGAGGACTTTTTTTTGGTGAAAATATACATAGCCAAAGATACACCATTTCAAAAATTTCTACGTGTACAATTCAGTGACATCGACTACGTTCTTCCAGTTGTGCTGCTATTCTCACTTTAAATGGTTTACAGAATAAAATAGTTTCTCATTAAATAGTATACATATTGCCTTATGACAATGGTTAACAACCCCACTAAACGTCAACACTATCCTTACTCAACTTTGGGTTTCCTATCACCAGCTTTCCTGTCCCCTTCTGCCTTCTAGTCCTTGTCCCTGGACTGCTGTGGCATAACAAAGTTTATCAAGAAAATGTTCTGCATCCCACTTTGGTGAGTGGCGTCTGGGGTCTTAAAAGCTAGCGAGTAGTCATCTAAGATGCATCAATTGGTCCCAAACCATCTGAATTAAAGGAGAATGAAGAACACCAAAGACACAAGGAAAATATTAGCCCAAGAGACAGAAAGGGCCACATAAACCAGATACTCCAACATCCTGAGACCGGAAGAACTGGATGGTGCCTGGCTACCACCAATGACTGCCCTGACAGGGAACACAACAGAGAGTCCCTGATGGAGCAAGAGAAAAGTAGGGTCCAGAACTCAAATTCTAGTAAAAAGACCAGACTTAATGGTTTGACTGAGACTGGAGGGACCTGGAAAACATGGCTCCTGAACTCTCTGTTGGCTCAGAGCTGAAACCATTCCTGAGGCCAATTCTTCAGACAAAGATTAGACTTGACTATGGCATATAAAGTGATATTCATGAAGAGTGTGCTTCTTAGCTCAAGTAGATACATGAGACTAAATGGGCAGCTACTGTCCAGAGGCGAGATGAGAAGCCAGAGAGGGTCAGGAGCTGGTTGAACGGACATGGGAAATCTGGAGTGGAAAGGAGGAGTGTGCCATCACAGTAGAGGGAGAGCAACTAGGGTCATACAGCAATGCGTGTATAAATTTTTGTATGAGAAAGTGACTTCAAGTGTAAACTTTCACTTAAAGTACAACTAAAAAAAAAAGTTTAACTTAAATCTACGCAAGTGTTTTACCGTAACTTCCATTTCACAGGAAATTTAGGAGACAAGAACTAAATTTGGAAACAATAAAAAAATCCAGAGTATGGGACAATTGGTCTCAATCCTTCAAAAAATTAAAGAAGAGGGGATAAAAACCTGGGGTGGGGGGGTTATACTAATTTAAAAGAGACAAAAAATGCACAATATCAAATAAGACATGTGAACCTTGATTGGGACATTGGCATGTTAGATAGTCTGCAAATATCACTGCCAACAATTCTTCCCATTCTTATATACATGTGCTGCTCCTCGCATTAGGAGGTGGAGTCTGTGTCCTGGCAACTTGAGTCTGGGCTGGCCTTGTGACTTTCCTTGAGCAATTCAATGCAGTGGAAGAAAAGCTGTATGACTTCTCAGCAGCTTGTTTTCACTCTCTTGGAACCCAGTTGACATGTGATCTAGTCAGCCCAGCTGAGGTGACAGTCATGGGAATGAAGCCATCTTGGATCTTCTAGCCCCAGTGGGGCCGCCCTAGGCAGTATCACATGGAATAAAGATGAGCTGTCCCCACCAAAACTGCATAATTATGCTACTGGAAAAAAATGAAGACGCTCTCTATAAACTGATATAGAAAGATTTCCAGGATATATTGTTAAGTTAAAAAAGTGAGATGCACAATCCTGAAGTTCACCCTTCAACCAAAGATTCGATAGGTCTATAAAACAAATAATAACACACGTGAGGAACATGCTTCTTAGTTCAGTCATGTATATGAGACCAAAAGGGGAATACCTGCCCAAAAGCAATGATGAGAAGGCAGGAAGGGACAGGAAAAAAGGACGCATGGAAATGGGGAATTGGGGTGTGGAATGTGAGAGTGTTCACACATCGCGGGAATTGCAAGCAGTGTTGCAAAACAGTATGTGTATACATTGTTAAATAAGAAACTAATTTGCTATGTAAAGTTTCACCTAAATCACAATAAAAAATTATAATTATGTGCAAGAGAATATACAGTAAGTTATCTTTGGTGTTTGTATTTGCGTAAAGAAATACTGGAAGAATAGGCAAGAAACTAAGGTAAGTGGTATCTATAGCCAACACGAATATTCAGCCCATATACACTATGATGGTTATACTGGTTAAAATAGAAGTATTTCTGTCCTGGTTGGTGAATGGCCACTCTTCAAACCCCTGAATTCTCTCCACCTCTGCCCTCATCCGGGGTCCAGCACAGAATGAGGTACATGTTAACATGAGTGGAATGGAGACTTTGCAAACAATACCTTTTAATATCCTTTGATTTTGAACCATGTGAATACATTACCTGTTTAATGAAGTAAATTTTTAAAAGTGTTACCACCACGCTCTATTCCAACAACCTGTTTTATGAATTTCAAACCATCAACCACTACTATCTTGTTGGTTTACCCTAAAATATCAACCTCATGACAGTACAGATCCTGGCTGTCGGGTTCATCCCTGACACCTGGAATTGAACTGGTTCGGGCCACATTCCAGCAATTTCTCTTTAGCCTCTGAATATAGACCCAGGAGTCGAAGAGTAAGGTCTTGAGCCTACCGGCTCACCTTGCGAGCCCCGTGGCTCAGCAGGGACGACGCCCCGGCTGGCTCCGCCAACAAAGCCCGGGGCCGCATTTCGCGGGCCCCTCTGCGCTCCAGGGCCAAGCACCGCCTGGACCACTGTGACGTCACGGGACCCTTGCCTCCGGTCCCCAGCCCTGCGCTCAGCGACGGCCGGTGACAGCCAAGAAGGCGGGTCCTAAATCAGCTGCGCGCAACAGTGCGGAGAGGGCGGCGACCGGACTGCGCGCGGCGCGGCCGGGGCGGGGCTACGTGCTGACGAAGCACGCCGGAGCAGGCGGGCCGGGCCGAGAGTTGGTGCTGCCGGAGTTGGGGTGCCGGCGCCTCATTCCCGGCGGAGCCTGAGTCGGAGCTAGGTAACCGCGGCGCTCCGCCGTATGCCTGGGCCCCAGGGTGCGGTCAAGCTGCTGCCTTTGCTGGCCAGTGGGGCGGGGGCCATGGGCACGGCGCGAGGCCACTGCGCCCTTGCCACCACCGCGGTGACAGGGCGTGGAGCGGAGGTGGGGGTAGGGGGCGGGAGCGGGGTGGGGGAGTCTTGAGGGACGGGCGCTGCAGCCAATAGAGCTGTGAGGGTCGTCTGGCGGGCGGAGTTTCGCCGATGTGGTGCGCGCGCCGTGGGCTTGCGCTGGCGCGCGGAGGCCCCGGATTAGCTGTCGGCGTGCTGCGGGCGGGTTCGCCGCTGGCGGGCGGATGTGAGGGATTCGGCTACTGACCCTTACGGGGTGACCCACAAGGTCAGGGGGAGGGCGTCACGTGGAGAGGCTCGTGCCGCGACGGGCGGCCCCTTCTTCCCTTCGGCTCAGCGCAGCTCGTGTCCTGGACGTGGAGCGGGACCCTCGGGATTTCCTCGGGCACTGCAGTGGCGCCGAAACCTCTCTGGAGAACCGAGCTCCGGCCCTGGCCGCCCGGCTCTGCCTTGCGCGGCAGCCCTTCGCTTCCGTCCCTCGGAGGGCTCGGGGCTGCATGGCCATCCTAGGGCGTGGTGCGGCCAGAAACAGGCAGCTACAGGGGGCTGCGGTCTCCTGGGAGCGAGCTCTGCTTCCCCTTTTTGTCCTCCAACCCGTTCGTTAGTTTTCCGGGGTAGGGAAGTAGCCGAGGCGCAAGCAGAGGTCTGCTGAGCGTCTCCCTGAAGCTCCCGTCCTTTTTAACCCTGTTCCTCTCTCGATCTTCGAACCATCTTGCCCCTCAGTTCTTAAGGGAGAGATGGTTTCTAGTCCTCCTTGCCCCAGAGGCTGAGAAATGTGTCCTTCTGAAGCTCCTCCCCTTAAAAAGGACTTTTTGCATAAAATTGTTGCCAGCTTTGCTCTGTCTTTTTTCCCCCTCATTGTTATGTCAGAAGACACTTAAAATATTGTTAGGTTGCTACATCTTTTGGACTAGGAATTCCTGGCTGTCCCTTCTGCAGCTTCGCTTGGTAATGACCTTGGATAAGCCGATTTACCTCTGCATAGTTATTTCCCTACTATGTACTTTTTTCCCAGAAGTTTTATAAAACATTTTGATTGAAATGAAGATCAATTCCTGTAAAAACAATTTTCATGTAATTTTTCCCCTTCGAAGAGGTACTTGACATAAATGTAAGTTATTACGTGTTCCCTCCAGTTGCCTTGGAGTCAGTTCTGACTCACGGCGACACCACTTCCATAGAATTTTCAATGGCTATAATCTTACCAAAGTAGACTGCCAGGCCTTTCTTCCATGGGCGCTGCTGGGTGGATTCCAACCTCCATCCAGCCTTTTGGTTAGTAGTTGAGCGCAAACCGTTTACCCCCCTGGGGAAGCCTAAGTTATTACGTACGGAGATTTAATAGAAAACTTGTAGAAACACACAACCACAAGATAGCTAGGGCACTTAATCTGACTAAACAGTTACTGACCCCCGTGTATTCCTCTCTCCTGCTCTCTCTACCTCTTTGCCCAGAACAGAGAGGACAGATGACTCTAGAGATTGAAGGTATGAATTGTGTATTGGTATTTCTTTCATTTCTTGTTCTTTGAGAGCACTTTCCACATTTTAATTTCTTAAAAAAAAAAGCCTTACTGAGATAAATCACATGCCATACAATTTGTCTATTTAAAGTTTAGAGTTCAGTGGTTTGTAGTATATTCAGAGTTATGAACTATTTTTATAATTCATTTACTTTTAAAGACTCAGCTCTGAAATACTCATACACGAATTTTCTGTTGGTTTTAAGTGCACAATTTATTAAATACAAAATATTCACCGTGTTTATTATGTGTGTGTCACACAGAGGGAGCCCTGGTGGTGCTAGGCTGCTAACCAAAAGGTTGGCAGTTTGAATCCACCCAGCAACTCCCTGGGAGAAAGACGTGGCGATCTGCTCCTGTAAAAATTACAGCCTAGAAAACCCTATGGGGCAGTTGTACTTTGTCACATGGGGTCACTATGCATCGAAGTTAACTCAGTGGCACCTAACAACAACATCACACAGGAGCTGCTTTTAACCGAAATCCGTTTTTATTTATTTGTAGTATTTTTGAGTGTTATCTTTTTGTATAGCTTTTTTAGTGGTTGTCTCGATATTACATTACATAGACATAACTTACCACAGTCTACCAATGTCATTATTTTACCAGTTTGAGTGAAGTGCAGAAGCCCTACCTCTCTTGACTTCCCCCACTTAAAATTGTCTTAAATATTCCCTTTACATACATTTAGAACCACATCTGTGTTATAGTCTTTGCGCTGTCAAACACGATTTAGAGGAATCAAGAAAAGGAAAGTCTGTCGTACCCATATTTTTGCTCTTTCTGTTGTTCTTTCTTTCCTTCCTGATATGCCAAGATTTCTTTTTTGTCATTTCCTTTCTGTTTAGGTAACTTCATTTAGCCATTCTTTTAGGATAGGAGGTCTGCTGGTGACAGTTTCTCTTAATTTTCCTTCATCTGGCTATGTCTTGATTTCCCCTTCATTTTTGAAGGATGTTTTTGCAGGATATAGGATTCTGAGTTGACAGTTCTTTTCCTTCTGTTTTCGAAAAATGTTGTATCATTTCCTCCTGGCCTTCATGGTTTCTGTTGAGGAATACAGTGTCATTTGAATTGTTTTTCTCCTGTAGATAATACACTCTTTCTGTCGACTCTCAAGATGTTTCCTTTGTGTTTATTTTGCTTATGAAGTGTCTCGGCATGAATGTCTTTCGTTTTATCTTGTTTGGGATTCACTCAGCTTCTTGAATCTGTGGTCTTATCAAAAAAACAAAAACCAAACCTGTTGCTGTCGAGTTGATTTTGACTCATAGTGTACCTGTAGAACAGAGTAGAACTGCCTCATAGGGTTTCCAAAGAGTTGCTGGTGGATTTGAACTGCCAGCCTTTTGGTTAGCAGCTGTAGCTCGCTGTAGCTTTCTACCACTGTGCCACCAGGGCTCCTGTGGTCTTACAACTTTTGCCAAATTTGGGAAATTTTCAGTACTTTTTCAGCCCCTCCCTCTTTCCCCTTTTTCTGAGACTCTGATGACAGGAATATTAGATTAATTAGATCTTTTGTTACAGTCCCACATGTCCCTGAGGTTCTGTTCCCCCCCCCCCAGTATGTTTTCTCTGGAGAAGCCAGCCACCCAGAAATACTAGCAAGTGCGTGATTTGTGTTGTTCTGCCTTCAAGTTCACTGAGTTTCTTCTGTCCCCTCCATTCTGCTGTTTAACCCATCTGTTTAGTTTTTTTAATTTTAGTTATCGTATTTTTCAGTTCTGAAATTTTTATTTCTTTGTACTTTCTATTTCTTTGCTGAGACTTCTTATTTTTTGTTTATTTTAAGCATGTTCGTAATTGCCCATAGAAGCAGTTTTAAAACCTTTGTCAGATAATTCTAACATATGTGTCATCTTGGTGTTGGTGTCTGTAGGTTATCTTTTTTTGTTTATGTTGAGATCATCCTGGTTCTTGATATGACACGTGATCTTTGGTTGCAGGGTTGAGGCTCTGGATCTTATTTATGTCTTCTTTTATAACAGGCCTCCTCTGACATTTCTCCAGTGTGGGAAAGGAGGTGCTGCCTGGTTACTGCGAGGTAGGGGGAGATATACGTCCCGTTTCCCCAGCTGGCTTCCTTGATATCTGGCAGGGAGGGACTCCTGGTTATTGCTGGGTGGTTATAAGAGTTTCAGTTCCCCTTTAGGCCTTCATTGATAGCATTCTGCCTGGGAGGGGGACGGGTGCCTTGGCCCTACGAGGTGGAGGTGGAAGTCTGAGGCTTCCCATGTAGTCTCCAAGACACTAGGGTGGGAGGGAACAAGTTGGTGGGGATGGTTCATTACTGCCTGGCAGATGAACGTCCCCACTCCCTACTCTGACATCACCACCTTTGTGGGGTAGAGTGGATTGGGGCACCTCCCTACCGCCTGGTGTGGATGGGGGTGGGGCCACAGTTTGTTTGTTTGTTTGTTTTGGACGTTGGCTGCAGTACTGCAGTTGTTGTCTAAAAGTTTTGTTTTGCTAGGCTGCCCATTTCCTGGCCCTTTGGCTAGAGAGAGCCAGCTTTTGTTGGGACTTTTTCGTGTGTGTCTGTGTACCTGCTGGTGTTTTCTGGGTGGCTGGCTTCTCCAGTACCTAGTCAGGAATATATGAGGCAGAAAGAAATCCCAGGAACTCACTGCCATGTCTTTCTTCAGTCCTGGGGTCCTTATACAGTCTACTTTTTCTCCATTTTTCAAAGTATTTTTATTCTTGATTTTTTTTTTTTAGTGTATACTGGCTAGTGTTTTTTGCTGTACTTAGTGGGAGGAATAGGGAAAAGTATGTCTACTTCTTCTTTCTGGAAATGGAAGTCCTGTATTTGCTTTTTAAAATTTTAATAAATATTGACAGATTGCCCAGTTTACATGCTAATCAACACCTTTAACAAATGCCTATTTACCTGCATCCTCAGCAGTACAGTGTGTTAATCAGACCACCACAGCATCAGATCAGATGACATCTCACCTAGGGAAGGACATGAACAGTCTCCATGCCCATGTATGGAGGCTTGTTCTGAGTTCTGATTTTGGGGATGTGTGAGCCCCTCCCAGCTCTAAAGGCCTATGGTTCTGGTTAGATAAATGAACTGCCATGTGCTAAATTATCAAGTCAGTCGGCTGACTCCACAGAAAGTTTGGAAGATGGTGAGAAATTACAGAGTAAATGCCACTCTAAATTAATTTAGGGTTATATTTATCTTGGGACCTTCTATTTTTCTAAGAGATATCATTATTTGGTCTTTTTTTCCTGGTAAGTTGTAATTCTTTAGTCATAGAAAACCTTTAAATTTTGCAGAGTACTTTCATGTTTGTATTCTTATTATAAAAAAAACAAAAACTATGAGGCAGGAGTGATTCCTGTCTCCACTTTATTGCTAAGAAAACTGAAACAGATCAAGTGATTTGTTTAAAGCCTCATATAGTAAGTTCGTGTCAACTCCATCTCTGTTTGCCCTGCAGGCTCAATAATTGTTTCCTACCTAGTAACCACAAAATGGCTTTGCAGTTTTAAAGTAATCCTCACTGTCTCCCTATCCATCAATTTATGTTTAATAAGGTATTATGAGTAAAAGATATTAAATTCTTTGAGATTGAGTAAGCAAGAATTCTTGTCTGTATTCTCTCTGTGCATATGTACTTTGTATCACTACTAAAGGAGCCCTGGTGGCGCAGTGGTTAAGTGCTCAGCTGCTAACTGAAAAGTCGGTAGTTCGAACGCACCAGGCACTCCGCGGGAGAAAGATGTGGCAGTCTGCTTCCATAAAGATTTATAGCCTTGGAAATCCTGTGGAACAGTTCTACTCTGTCCTGTAGGGTTGCTGTGAATTGGAATCGACTTGATAGCAACAGTTTTGGGTTTTGGTTTTTATCATTACTAAAACTAAGATAATTGCAGGCATGGAGTAACAGACATGGGTGTGTAGCAAGAAATGTCTTCTCGATTCATTATAAGAATCTTAATTAATGAGTACGAAACGAAAAAGAAAATGGAAAATATTTTCAAGTCGAGTTGTTTTTTAACAGCGGTTGTCAGGCAACACACATGGGCAATAATCACTTAATGATGCATGCTCTTTTCCCTCCAAGACTTGTTTGTTGAGAACCAACAAAACAAAAAACAATCCAAGCTGTTTTTGCTAGACATTGCCCTTTCATTACCCCTCTGCCCTGCCATCATTACGTTGATAGGTGTCAGTGGTCAGTTATTTCCCACACTGTGTATAGGGACTCGGAGGTGGGCCCTTGGATAAGATGTTTCCTGCTTAACTGGAGAAGTTCCAGGCCACAGACATTGAGGGCTTCACACTAGTCACATTTCAAAATATCATTTCCTAAGGGCAGGGTATTTAACCCTTAAAAACAAATTTTCCTTTGGTTTTTACTTTTTACTTTCTTATTTTTTCCAAATGTATAGACTTATACTTACATCTTGAAATTCATTATGTTTGTAATTTTGTGTGTTTTATTGATACTTATAGGCTCACTTGGATTTTTTTCTTAGACATTCTTTTTTTATGACTTATGTACCCTACAATTCACCCGTTGAAACTGAACAATTTAGTTTTTTAGTATATTCAAAGAGTTGTGCTATCATCAGCACAGTTTAGGTTTTAGAACATTTGTCCCCTTGAAAGAGACTCGAGGAGTCACTGGGTAGTGTAAACAGTTAACTGCTCGACTACTAGCTGAAGTGTTTGTGGTTCATACCCACCCAGAGGCACCTCCGAAGACGAGCCTGGCGATCTGCTTCTGAAAAGCCACAGCCTTGAAAACCTTATGGAGTAGTTCTACTCTTCACACATGGGATCTCCATGAGTCAGAATTGACACAAAGGCAGCCAACAACAAAAGAGACCCCATACCCATTAGCAGCCACCCGCCAAACAACCACTAATCTACTTTCTGTGTATATAGATTTACCTATTCTGGAGATTTCCTATAAATGAAATCATACAATATGTTGCTTTTTGTAAATA